AGAAAGGCGTATATATACGGTAGGTATGGTTGTAAAGAAAGGTGTGTATATGGTTTAAGTATAGTTGTCCTGTGAGATTTGTGTATACGGTAGGTATGGTTTAAAGAAAGGTGTGTATATACGGTAGGTATGGTTGTAAAGAAATGTGTATATACGGTAAGTATGGTTGTAAAGAAAGCATAAAACGTCTCCACTGGTAGAGGTAAGAAGAAGACGAAGTAGCCAAACATATAAACAAATATTCCTCCCACAAAGCTACAGGTTTATAGCTTGACCATTCAGCTCCTTAAACTTGGCAATCACACTGTCTCATCCAAGATAATTGATGAGGGGTAACTTTACAATCCCATATGATGCCGCAGGGGATATCAAGATAGTGCTGAATCTGCCATAGACCTGTAGACCTAGTGAAGGTTGCCACATTCCCCCCCATCTTTTGTCTTAGAACTATTCCCCATTCAACTTTCTTAAATATTAAAATACAAATCCAATTCTTAAAACACGAATCTATTATTCCCATCCAAACCCAAGTTTTGGGCAGGTAGCACGAATGGAAAGCTGTTTCTCCACCAGTTGCTTATGTGACATCACTACAAAATATTGGGACAGTATGGACACATCTCACAGGACAACCGTACTTACCGTATATACATATCTCACAGGACAACCTTACCTATCGTATATACTCATCTCACAGGACAACCGTGCTTACTGTATATATACATATCTCACAGGACAATCGTACTTACCGTATATACACATCTCACAGGACAACCGTACTTACCGTATATACACATCTCACAGGACAACCATACTTACCGTATATACTCATCTCACAGGACAACCGTACTTACCGTATATACATATCTCACAGGACAACCGTACTTACTGTATATACACATCTCACAGGACAACCGTACTTACTGTATATAAACATCTCACAGGACAACCATACTTAAACTATATACACATCTCACAGGACAACCATACTTAAACTATATACACATCTCACAGGACAACCATACTTAAACTATATACACAGTAGTGCTCTCTCACCTT